ACAAACTTCTGATAATAAAAGGGATCCTAGTCATCATGAAAATGTGACACTATGATATTCTTCTGATGATCTTTGAGAGAGAGAGAGAGAGAGAGAGAGAGAAAGTTATTGATCCAATTCTTGCCATCAGTGAGTGGCGTCCACAACACAACTATAAGCATCTCACATAAAGAATGATTGTTACCTTATATATATAACAAAACAAAGAATGAATGGGAACCAAAAAAAGCTCAAATGGTATCACTGGCAACAGAATTCAAAATGGCTTTACTCACCAGGCTGAGAGCTGTTGTGCCCAGCAGCAACAGGTACAACTTACCCTGCAACAATTTCAAGACTTTAGCCCCGTTTGGTAGAGCTGTGGGAAAGTGCTTATAGCTTATGCCTAAACAGCTTATAGCTTATAACTTTCAGCTTAAGCTGATTTCCAGCTTATTCTTAAAGCATATCCTGCCCCACTCAAAGAATAAGCTGTTTTCTGACTTCCACAAAGCTATAAGCTATAAGCTATAAGCTAAACCAAACACATCAAAATAGCTTAAATTAAGCTGAAAGCTGAAATAAGCTGAAATTAAGCTGTACCAAACAGGGCCTTTAAGTTACAATGTCTAATTGATAGGACATTACTGTTGTGTTTGGTTGGGGATTTAAGAAGGGATTTGGAAAAAAAAAGAGAAAATGTAGGTGAAATGTGAATAAAATATATCTACATTTCACTTAGTTTCACACTTTTTCCCTTTCCTTTTTCAAATCCCTTCTCAAATTCCCTAACCAAACACAATGTACAAGAAACTGCACACCTAGATAAAAATTAAAAATTGAAGCTTATAGGTGAAAAAGGTTCATAACTAGACAAAGTTTAAATAGTTCAATCACAATTGCAATCCATGTAAGCTGATGATTTTTTGCCTAATAGGTCCAATATACACGTTGACATCACAAACTTCTCTTTCAAAGAAGGCTTTAGCATAAGCTGAAAACCTAAGAAGTACGGACACGGATACGGATACGGATACGGATGCGGATGCGGATGCGGACACGGGACACGGCGATTTCAAAAACATGGAAACACGGACACGGCGGCGACATGGCAATAAAATATATTTTCATATATTTTTATTTTCTATCTAGATTATTATTACATCTACAAACAATCAATATTAACAAAAACCAACTCTAATTCTATAATTTTTTTTTATTTAAAAAAAAAACACAATTAACACTTATTTTTATGGATGATCTATTAAGTATTTAAATCTAACAAAAATATAATAAACATTTAACATTCAACATTCAACATTCATCAAAAGCACTAAATAAAATAGGAAAAAAAACTTGGCATGTCCCTAGTATGTCCCCAAAGTGTCCCCGGCATGTCCACGTGTCCTTGAAGTGTCCGTGCGTCTGACACGGATATGGCACTTGTTTTGAAGTGTCGGTGCTTCATAACTAGAAACAATCAATCAAAACAATGCTAACAATTTAAGAATTACCTCAACTAGATGAAGATTAGAAGCACGACTTAGAAGAACAAAAGCAAATTCCCCAATTTGTGCCAAAGACATTCCAACCTACAAATATCAAATAACTAAGGCCCCTTCTGTCAACAGAGATATCAATAACCAAGGAGCAAAAATTATGTAGTATGCCAGTATTGGTAAATCCTTACAAGTAGTGAAGTCTTGTTACTATAACCAAATCCTTTGACCACTGTGGCAACCACAACAGTTTTTATGATGATCACCAATATAACAGCTGCTAGTAAAATGTCAATGTGATTCCAAATAAAATGAACATGTATAAGCATCCCAATGCTGGCAAGAAAAAGCGCAGCAAATAAATTGCGAATCGGCTCAACCTAACAGAGAGAGAGAGATCTATATCAAAATAAAGCACTAATGGTATTTCAACAAAGGTTACAGCAAGAAAAACATATTAAATGCAGTATTCCAAACAAATACAAGAGTTCTTACAAATATGAATCAGTACCACAATTTTGTTAAAAGAATAAACCCAGCAATTTTTTAAGTAACCTCCCAACACACATCCCAACTTTGAGAGAGAGGGAGATTCATACATTTCAAACAGCAAGATATTGTTAGAATATTTCCATGTTTCCTTATTTAGATTAGATTGTGATTGATAATTGATTGATTGATTGATTGTGATTCCTTAATCAGTCAATCAATCAATATAAAAGGTGATTTCTTAATCAGTGTCTTAGGGCTTCCTTTTGTAACAGTTAATTGATTAATATAAAAGGGGATGATATCATAATCATCACTCAAGCTTTGTATTCTCTTAAATTACATGGTATCAAAGTCAAAACCCTAAAAACCGTCACCCACATAATCGTTGCCACCAATCACCCATCCTCCACCGCTAGTCCCTGAGTCTCTGTCGAAACCAGTCAAGGTCTCACAGAGTTGTTTCGGCTTTAGCCGAAGGCCCCTCTGGCCTAGTCAACCCTTGTGAGGGCTGTCCTAGCCTCTCTTTATGTATTTCGGCTCTTGTGGATGAGTGTATGAGGGCTGCCCATCTTCTGTTGCCCCAAGTTTCTTTCCCTCTACTTTCTTAAACACAGTTCAACACTTGTTTTGATTGGAGGTTCATTTTCCCATATTTAATTTATTTTATGGGCACATAGATGACCCATTAATCTGAATGTTATGCTCCCATAGTGGTTTGCATGTGATTTTGCTTGTTCTAGCCCATTCCATTCCTCTTTCCATTCTTATGATTCATGCAAGGTTTTTGGGTTGAAATTGTAGAGTTCTTATGGCTGACCTAACTAGCAAATCCACCACTACTTCTCACCCATCTAAAAGGGAAAGCTCCAGTCCAATTATGACTACTACATCTGAGAACCTAAACCCTAGCCTCAAAATCACTACCCGCTTTGTTTAATGGTCAAAATCACCTTTCATGGTCTCATTGTTTGACACTTTTCCTGAAGAGTAAGGGGAAGATGGGATAAGTTAATAGGAGAATTCAAGCACTAGGTATTACGGATCCAAGCTATGACCAATGGGAGATTACCAACTCTTTAATCATGAGGTGGCTTGTTCATTCCAGGATTCCTGAGATTGGTGAAGGCTATTTTTCCATGGATACTGCCCAGGATATTTGAGAAGCAATCGCTGCTACATATTCTCGAAAAGGGAATTTTTTTCAATCTTTTGAGTTGTGCTGGTCTATTGAACGCTCAATACAGGGGGAGCAGACAGTTCTCCAATATTACACCCTTCTGACTAATAGTGGGAAACGCCTAGATCATCTCCTGGATTACAAACTTGTTTGTACGGTTGACTCAGTTGGTTACCAAAAGTTTCTTGCACAGGAGAAGGTCTATAAGTTTCTGGAAGGCCTCAATGTGAAGTTTGATCCGGTCTTAAGTCGTGTCCTTGGCATGGACATCGCTTCAAGAGGCCTTTGCATATGTACAGAATGAGGAGAGTCATCATTCTGCTATGTTACCACCGGCTACTGGAGACCGTTCAACATTACTTTCTGCTCCTCCTCAAGATGGGACTAGTTTGTCACTACCTCTTTCCCATCCTTCAAGAAATGATACTGTGTTCTGTGATTACTGCAGGAAGTCGTGGCATACTCGTGAGACGTGTTAGGAGCTTCATGGGGCTCCATCAGGTAATCGGGATGATCGGTCTGGTATTAGAGGCGATCGATCAGGCTAGCCTAGAGGACGTGGCTCTAATCCACGAGCCCATCAGTCTAATGCTGTTGACACCCTTGATTCTACTTCCGCTTCAGTTGGTCCGACTTCTGATAGTTTGTCTAGCATAACTTCTCTTAAGCTTGAGGATGTTTTGCGTCATTTGCTAACTCGCCGATATTCTACTGCTCCCAGTGCATCTTCCTCGTCGTTTGCGTGCTCAGGTAATAGCCTCTTCTCCTAGTGTTTTTCTTTCCCTTAAGTCTTTGCCATGGATTATTGATTCTGGTGCCTCAGATCATGCGTCTGGGCCTTCCGACCTTTACTCCGCATATAAGCCCTTTTCAGGTCAAGACAAAGTTAGGATTACAGATAATACTGTTTCTTCTATCTCTGGTTAAGGTTTAATTCATGTCACCTTTACCTTACCTCTATCCTTAGTGCTCCACATTCCCAATTTTTCTGTTAATCTTCTATCATTGAGTCATATTACTAAGGATTTGAACTGTAGTGTGACATTCTTTTCTGATTATTGTCTTTTTCAGGACCTTGTCACAAGGACAATTGGCAGTTGTAGTGCAAAAAATGGTCTCCATTTCTTAGATCAGCCGAACAAGCTTGCTCATCATTCTATCTAGTTCCCAATCACCAGGGAGGATTTATGGTTGTGACATCGGCGTCTTGGACATCCTTCTTTTCATTTACTTAGGCATTTATTTCCGTTTGTTTTTACAAACAATAATATGTCTGAGTTTCTTTGTGAGTATTGTCAACTTAACAAACAATACCGAGCTTCTTTTGCTCCAAGTCTTAATAAAAGTATAGCTCTTTTTTCTTTAATACATTCTGATGTGTGGGGTCCATCTCATGTTATGTCTTTAAAAGGCCATAGATGGTTTGTCACCTTTATCGATGATTTTTCTCGTACTACTTGAGTGTATCTCATGAAAGAAAAAAGTGAGGTTTTCCCTGTGTTTCAAAATTTTCATAAAACGATTTGTACTCAGTTTGAGGCAATTGTCAAAATCTTGCATTTTGATAATTGGGTTGAATACATCGATTCGGGGTTAAAGAGCTATTTTTTCACTCATGGCATTATACATCAGACATTTTGCACTAATACCCTTCAACAAAATGGGGTTAGAGAATACAAGAATCGACATTTTCTTCATATGACTTGCTGCATGTGTTTTTTTATGTGTGTGTCTCGATCCTACTGGGGTGAGGTCATTCTCACCACAGCCTATCTCATTAATTGTCTTCCTACCCAGGTTTTGCAAAAACAAGCTCCATTTCAAGTCCTTCTCAGTTCAGAGTCTTTGTTTTCCATTCCTCCTAAAATATTTGGTTGTGTCTGTTTTGTCCATAATTATTCTCCTACTCATGGTAAGTTGGACCCTCACTCTCTCAAGTGTGTTTTCCTCGGATACTCGCCTACTCAAAAGGGATATAAGTGTTATCACCCTCCTTCTCGTAAGTGGTTTGTATCCATGGATGTCACTTTATTTGAGTCTCAGTCCTACTTCTTGTCTTCTCCAGTGTCACAATCATCCCTTCAAGGAAAGCCTTGGTGTGAAGAGATTCCCGTTGTCCCTGTTGCTCCTATGGTACAACCAGTTGTTCTTGTAAGATTCTTGAAAGCTTTTCTGTATATTCAATTGTACATAATATAAAAATTACAACCAATATTTATAGCAATCCTAAACCTAATCTATAGATTGATTGTATACTATCAATCGAATATTCACAATCAACCTAATTAACATATTTCCATAATTATATAATATTCTCACACCCCCGCTCAAACTCAAGGTGTTTTAGCAGAAAATACTGAGAGTTTGCCAAGAAGAAACAGAAATCGAACAGTGGTGTGAGTCTTCGTAAAGAAATCAGCAAGTTGCAATGCCAAAGAGACGAAAGGAAGCGAGAGGGAACCAAACTGCAAATGCTGACGGACAAAATGACAATCAATCTCAATGTGCTTCATCCGCTCATGAAAGACAGTGTTATGTGCAATCTGAATAGCATTGCGGTTGTCACAGTAAAGGGAGGTTGGAGAAGACTGAGGGACACCTAAATCGGTCAAGAGATAGCGAAGCCAAACAATCTCAGCACTGGCATGAACCATAGCACGGTACTCAGCCTCAGCAGTGGAATGCGCAACAACAGTCTGTTTCTTGCTCTTCCAAGAAATCAAGGAATCACCAAGCAACATGCAAAAGCCAGAAGTGGACTTGCGATCAGTGACATCATCAGCCCAATCAGAATCAGCATAAGCTACCAAGTCCAAAGAGGAAGTAGAAGGCAGCAGTAAACCCTAAAAGATAGTACCCCGGAGATAATGAAGAATCCGAACCAATGCAGCCTAATGTGAGGAGTAAGGAGCGAAGAGCAGAGACAAACTGGCTAACCACATGAATAGCATAGACAAGATCAGGACAAGTAACCGTCAGATAGACTAAGCAACCCATGAGCTCTCTATATAAAGTAGGATCATCCAGAAGAACACCCTCAGTAGTTTTGAGCTTGACATTAAGCTCAATGGGGGTATCAAAAATCTTAGTGTCAATAAGATCGGCATGATGAATAACCTCATTAGCATACTTAGCCTAAGAGAGAAAGTAGCCCTTGGGAGAAGAAACGACTTCAATACCAAGAAAATACCGCAATGGCCCGGATCCTTCATTTCAAAGGTGCGAAAAAGATGCTGCTTGACCTCAGATATAGCAGAAGAGTCAGAACCAGTGATGATCATATCATCCACATACAGTAATAACGCAACAAATCTAGCAAAGGTGTGAAAAAGAAATAAAGTAGAATCCTGGGCACAAGGATGAAATCCAAGCTCAATAATAGCAGTCTGAAAGCGATCATACGAAGCACAAGGAGACTGTTTTAGACCATACAAAGCACACCGAAGGCGATAAACCTATCCAGAGGAATGGTGAAGGCCAGGGGAAGGACGCATGTAAACCTCCTCGATGAAATGACCATTAAAAAAAGCATTCTTAACATCCATCTGATAAAGAGGCCAAAAACAAACAGCAACAATAGAGATCAAAGTATAGACAATAATCATCTTAGCAACAAGAGCAAAAGTCTCCTCATAATCAATATCATACTCCTGTGAGAAATCTTTGGCAACTAGAAGAGCTTTGTAGCGCTCAAGAGAACCATCAGAATGAGTCTTAACTTTGTAGACCCATTTACAACCAATCAGATTCTTACCAGCAAGCAAATGAACCAACTCCTAAGTACTAGTTTTCTGTAGAATAGACAACTCATCCTCTATAGCTTGAACCCAATAAGGATCCTAACAGGTCTCCTTGTAAGACTGAGGTTCTAAAAAAGAGTGAATAGCAGACAAAAAAGTACGATAGGAAGCAGAAAAACATGTATTAGAAAAACACAACCTGTTTGGAGGATGACGCGCTCGAGTAGGATATCGGTATGCAGTAAGATCAGAGTCGTCAGAAGCAGGAGGATTAGCAGCAGGGGCAAAGAGAACCAGTGGAGAAGGAGGAGCCTTGCGACGAGAATAAACTAACAACGAAGGAGGAGAAAAAGCTGAAGAAGGAAAAGCAGCCAGAGGTAAAGTAAGAGGAGAAGATGGAACAAGCTTAGGAGGAACTGTGGAGATGTACTCATCAGACGGGACCTTACAAGGAAATGAATCAATATGAACCAAATCCTCTTTGGAAACTGGGGCAGTGAGAGGAGGAAACTGAAAGTAAGGGAGACGTTCGAGAAATGCAACATGGCGAGAGACATAAAGGCAACGGGAAACAGGATCATAACAGCGATAACCTTTCTGAGTGAGACTATAACCCAAAAAAACACATAGGACAGACCGGGCACTAAGTTTGGTCCTATGTTTGCGGGATAAAAAAACAAAACAAGCAAACCCAAACACACGAATGAGGGAGTAATTAGGAAGTTGAGAAAACAGAGCCTCATAAGGAGACCGACCAGAAAGAAGGGGGGTAGACATATGATTGAGAAGAAAAACAACAGTAAGAACTGCCTCATCCCAAAATGGAGCCAGAACGGAGGCAGAGAGAATGAGAGACCTAGCTGTCTCAAGGAAATGACGGTGTTTACACTCAATTCGCCATTTTGGGCAAGTGTATCAGTACAAGAAGTTTGGTAAATGGTACCCAATTTGACCAAATATTCACAAAATTCAGTTTTAAAGTATTCCCCGCCCAAGTCAGACCGCAACAATTGAATAGTAGACCCAAACTGTGTAGTGACCATAGACTGGAAAGTACGATATATCTAGTAGATATCAGACTTATGAGTCATGAGATAAACCCAAGTATAACGGGTGCAGTTATTAACAAATGACACATAGTATGCAGAACCCTCTTTGGTGAAAACAAGAGAAGGGCCCCAAACATCAGTAAAAACTAAAGAAAATGATGTATCAGATATAGAAGCACTTTTATGAAAAGGTAATGCTGTCATTTTAGCAAATTTACACCCCCGACATTCAGTAAGTTCACTAGAAGAAACTTTACCCAATATACCAGACTGAGCTAAAGACCGTAAGCGATCAACAGACAAATGCCCTAATCTAGAATGCCTCAAGCAAAAAGGACTAGACAGAAAATTTAACTGAAAAGAAGAAAAGGCAGTCAGTGAGGTGGCCATAGGTAGATGCAAGCTCTTTGCCACATAGAGGTCTCCAACTCTACGGCCAGTCCCACTCTGTTGCTTAGATATCCGATCCTGCACAGAACAGATAGAAGAAGAAAAGATAACATCAAAACTAAAGACATCAAGCTAACTAATAGATAATAAACTAACAGATAACTAAGGAACATAAAGAAGAGATGGAATAGAGACAGTAGACATAACAGACGGTAGAATAGACCCAACAGATATAACAGACATACCAAACCCATTGACAGCATTGACAGTAATAGAAAAGGGAGGAGTACAATTTTGAAGTAAGCTAAAATAAGGAGTCATATGATGAGATGCACCAAAGTTAAAAATCCAGACAGATGAAGAAATACTTGAAGAAGACCCAAGCAAACCTGAAGGAAGATAGGAAACAATAGGGGCAAACGTGGATGGCTAGGAAGAAGACTATGTATGCTGAAGCTAACTAATTAGTGTATGCTGAAGCTGACTAATCTGAGCAGTCAAGGAAGCCAAGTCAGAATCAGGAGCCGGAGCAGATACAGTAGAACCGACGGGAGGCCGAACGGTACTCCGAGGAGGAGCACAGAACTTGATCGAAAACTACTGAGAAGACGAACAAGATAGACATCCCTTCTTGGGACAGTGATATTTCCAATAGCCCTTCTGATGGTAGAAGACACACTCATCCGAAGCTAGAGACATTATAATAATCAGAAAATTGAGGGACTCAAGTGTAATAAACCCAAAATAAAACAAAATAGGCATCAAGGGTCTAAACTTAATAAATCCAAAAAAAATAATACCAGATGGGTCAATTACCCGTGGGTTCAACCTAACTAAGAGAGAGAGATACAACACCAGTAAACAAGTCAGGGAAGGAGATGGATTTCTCAAAGCTTGATCCACTGAGAGAGGGGTTTTACGAACTCAATACTAGCAAGAGAGAGAACCAGACTTTCGACTCATAAAGGGACCTTCGCGAGAGACAAAGAGGCAGTCTTCGTGAACCAAAGCGAGAGAGATATTGCGTGTGCTCCAGAAGTCGAACCCAGATGTGTTGTCGAGACTCGCGATCACATGTTCAGACAGAGACGAGGATCGCGAGTCCAAAAGGAGGCAGTTCAGAGCAAGTCGTCGATGCACTGAGGAAAAAGGGTTTAGACTCACAAGACACAAGATTCCAAAGTTTCAATCATGTAAGGCGAGTCGAACACAGAGGTGCTTATTACGAACCAAATGGGTGAATTGCAAACTGTGATTCCGATACAATCACGACTTCTAAGAACACAGAGAGAATTAGAAGAGAACTCAACCGAAGAGGCTAGAATCGAAGTTGACAACGATGGCGCTAGGATTTCACATACGGCTCTGATACCATGTAAGATTCCTGAAAGCTTTTCTGTATACTCAATTGTACATAATACAAAGATTACAACCAATATTTATAGCAATCCTAAACCTAATCTATAATAGGAAAGAACCCTATACAATCAATCTACTAACAATCGAATATTCACAATCAACCTAATTAATATATTTCCATAATTCTATAATATTCTCACAGTTCTTGCACCACTTATTACTGAGACTATAGAATCCAATGCCACTGAGGACAGGGAAGGGCAAGTTTATGTCAGGGACAAAGACAAGACAGAAGATTACTTGGATACAAGAGACCACTTCTACTCACCCACTGTCATCTCCTGCTTCTGATAAGAGTCCAGGTAACTTTGAACCTCTTGTTTCTGTTGAGTTTACTAATGTTGCTATTCCTTACACTACTGATCTTGATATTCCTATTGCCAAGAGAAAGGGTGTGAGATCTTATATATCTCAAACTTTGTGTCCTACTCTCATTTGTCTTTCTCTAACAGAGCCTTTGTGTCCAACATTTCCTCTGTTAGGAGTGGTTTGGAATGATCTAAGCAAGTGTACTTTTTGACTTTTTATGAAATATGGGTTGAGTATGGGTTAGGTTTGAAGTGATATGACTTAAATAAAATGATGGGACTTAAATAGGATAGTGACTTTTTAGCTTTTTGACGTTTTTAGGTTATGACAAATAAGGCCTTAGTATTCCTAACCATTTTTAGGATGCTCTCGCTACCTCTGAATGAAAACTTGCCATGATTGAGGAAATGAAAACACTTCGTAAGAATAACACTTAGGAGGGCAAACGACCGGTGGAATGCATATGGGTGTATACTGTGAAGCACAAAGCAGATGGTTCCATTGAGCGTTACAAGGCTCCACTTGTGGCAAAAGACTTCACTCAGACTTATGGAGTAGACTATCAGGAGACTTTTGCTCCAGTGGCTAAGATGAATTCAATCAGAATACTTCTCTCTAGCAGCTAATGTAGATTGGCCACTTCATCAGTTTGATGTAAAGAATGCTTTCTTACATAGTGATCTAGAAGAAAAGGTATATATGCACATTCCTCCTGGTTTTGAGGATCATCAAACAAAGGGTAAAGTATGCATGCTTCGAAAGTCGTTATATGGTCTCAAACAGTCTCCAAAGACTTGGTTTGAGAGATTTACTCAGGCTATGCTTAAATATAGTTTCAAACAGAGTTAGGAATTTGTGAAACATTCTTCATGTGGTAAGACTACAACTCTCATTGTTTATGTGGATGATATAATGTTTACAAGCGATGACAGTGAGGAAATACCCTTGTTGAAGAAATATTTAGTTAGTGAGTTTGAAATTAAAGACTTGAGGAACTTGAAATATTTTCTGGGAATCGAAGTTGCTCACTCCAAAGATGGGATTTTCATCTCACAAAGGAAATATGTTCATGATCTTTTGAAGGAAACAGGGATGCTTAGATGTAAGGCCTGTGATACCCCACTGGAACCTAATCAAAATCTTGGTGATAATGAAGGAGGAGCTGTTGATAGGAGTTATCAGCGACTAGTAGGTAAGCTCATTTACTTATTTCACTCTCGTTCGGATATTGATATTACTATTGCTATCAATATAATTAGTTTATGCATGCTCCTCATCAAATTCACTTAGAGGCTGTTATGAGAATTCTGAGGTACATGAAATCTTCTCCTGGAAAGGGCCTCTACTTTTCCAAACATGATCAACTCAGAGTGGAAGCCTATATAGATACTGATTGGGCAGGGCCAATAACTGATAGGAGATCTACATCAAGATATTGTACCTTTGTGGGCGGCAATCTTATTACTTGGAGGAGTAAGAAACAGAATGTGGTGGCTAGATCGAGTGCAGAAACTAAGTTTAGAACTATGGCACAAGGTGTGTGTGAACTCTTGTGGATCAGACTATTGTTGAAAACTATGACACAAAATGTGTGTGAACTCTTGTAGACCAGACAGACTTTATGCGACTATATTGTAATAATAAAGCTACCATCAACATAGCTCACAATCCTGTTCAACATGACAGCACAAAACATGTTGAGATTGATCGCCACTTCATCAAGGAGAAACTCACTAGCGGCATGATATGTACTCCTTTTGTGAAGCCAGGCGAACAACTTGCAGCTATTCTCACCAAGAGAGTTAGGAGTAAACCATTTCATGACATTCTAGGCAAGCTGGGCATGCGAGATATCTTCGCACCAGCTTGAGGGGGAGTGTTAGAATATTTCCTTGTTTCCTTATTTAGATTATATTGTAATTGATTGATTGTGATTCCTTAATCAGTCAATCAATATAAAAGGTAATTCCCTAATCAGTGCCTTAGGACTTCCTTTTGTAACAGTTGATTGATTAATATAAAAGGAGATGATATCATAATCATTACTCAAGCTTTGTATTCTCTTAAATTACAGATATATGTTGTGTACTAAATCTAATGGCCGCCAATAGCCATTTTCCACACAAAGACATCACAGTACAGGTGGAACTTGTCCAAAAAAAAAAAGCATCACAGGTTGATTACCAATTGAGAAGGGTATAATAGAATATACAAGAAAGCTCTACAAAATGGTCTAGTCCTTGTATACAAATAGGAGTGTAAATCATTTGGAAAATGCAATTTGTAGATAAGCTTTATGCAGGGCATAAAAATAAATCTGAGTTTGAAAATAGTGTGCTAGTATGGGTGTATGTAGCCAGCAGAGGATATGATGGATAACTGAACTTAGAAGTTTAGAAGAACATTTGGCTGTAGCGAAAAAAACACATAGCTCAGGTTGAAAAGTCAACCACGATGTTGTAGGATCAGCATTTGATGACAATTTTTAGTTCTTTCTTTCTCCAATGAATGAAATAATACTGAGAGAAAAGTGAATATAAGTAGGTCGGAATACCTGACACAAATCCATGGATTAAGAGTAAATTTAAAATTGAAGTAGCAAGTACATTTACAAGCTTTCGAGCAACTTTTAAGATGGCTGAATTGCAATTAGTTTGAATATATACTCTTTAGTTAGACATTCTAACAAAGCATATCTTTCTGTTTCTACATGATAATTCATTTTAGATGAATTATTGATAAGATCACAAATTTTTTCTCTCATAACTTTGATTCAGAGTGAATTTCATAAACATTTAACTAGCATAAAGCTTAAATAATCAGGCACCTCCGCAGCTTCTGATACAATGTAAACAACTAGAGCATCTTACCTGTTCAAGTGTATGTTGAGCAAGTTCGGTTGTCGATATCATTACTCCAGCAGCAAAGGAACCCAGTTCAAGGCTTAGACCCAACTTATCACTACACTGAAAGAACAAAATAATCCATATTATACACAGAAAAACACATGCACGCTTTGTGCAAGAGCACATGTTTGGACTATGGAGAGATGGTGGGCAAGTAGATAATTGGTTTGCAAAAGTATCCACTCAAGATGGGATGAGTAAACACTAGTTTTTTCTATCTAAAATATTTTCAGACCCAACCAAAAAAAAAAAAACAGAATATTGAAGGAAATGCATGAAATGATATGCTAGAAAGGGAATTGGGAAATGAGGCTTTACCCAGGCAACCAGCAAGCAGAAAGCCACTGCTGCCAATTGATAAAGTTCATTGGTCTGTACAAAAAGATTTCAATCAAAGCGTCAAAACATAGAAATTGCCGTCCAGGAGTAAATCGATCATATCATATTAGGAAAAGTTACCTGTGATGATAGGCTAATCATCAGCTTTAGAAACCAAGGTACACAAGTCCGAGATAGTATTGACAAAATGGCCAAAAAAGTAATCAAAACCACCAGCCTGGACAAGAAATTTAATAGATTGAATTGGAAAACAATATAAGCAGGAGGCGAGAATTGTACACTAATCCAATAATATGTAAACCACAATCAATGTGTGCCACCAAGGACTTCAGATGTGCTAAATTTGCAACAATGAAAATGAGAACCAAACATTCAAATTCTTTTAGGTAATGCTACATATTCTGATCCTCAAGCCCTGAATTTATTTGTGGTGCCAGCTCATTAAAGAATTTATCCTTCCAGAGAATCCATTTTATTTTATTCTCAGTTGCACCCCAAACATAGACTTCCAGAAGTACTAATAAGACCGTAATGAATTGTATTTGTTTGTTGCAGTGTGATACTTCATTTAGAAGAGCCAAAAGACTCTAAAGCTGTTTCCAGTTGTACATAAAATGACATCAATAATCAGTAGATATGAAGCTCAAGACTGCTGCACTATTTTCAAAATATGCAGCTAGCATGCCCTGAATGATCACCAATATGAAGATTCCAAGATAAATAGACAACACATTAGCTTTCAAGAGAAAAAATTCCATTATCAGATCGAAGGAACAGTAAGTAATATGATGCAGAAAGTAATACATAGAATGGAAACTGAACTACCTAAGCGTAACTAAAAAGTCTCATTGAAAACGGCATATTTGTTTCATTAATATTCAATAGTATAAGTCACTCTTTGCATTTGATTCCTTGAAAGCTAAGTGGGACGAAGACTCTGAGGCTGTTTATAGAATTTTGGGAAGTGGGACAACACCTTTTTCCAAGTAGTTTGTCTTTCTGCCTCATAATGCATACTCCAAATAAAGTCGCAGGCTCACAGGTTGGCCGCATTTAACAGTGGCACAAGATGTGTGTGACCTAAAGCAAAACCTGGTGGTAGGAAAAACATATCCTGCTGCAATTTGGAGAAAACTTTTATAAACAAAGTTGATGACCTAAAGTATGAAGTAGCATAATATTCAGAGTTCTAGCCCTCAAAACAAAATTAAGCAGGTTAAAGGGGAATCAAATATTCAGTAATTACTTGCTTCCCCAATAAATAATATGCATTGAATAAAAATGTGATCGAGGTTTTCATTCATAATCAAAAGACTCCTACAGTTAGTACTAAGAGAAATACTACTATGAAATATCTAAAATTAATGGTTTGATATCCTTATACACCAATTTATTTAAAATCTAGGGCTTCCATTTTTCTGTTGGTTCTTTGGATCAATATGCCGAGTCCTTGCTTCTGTTCCAGTTCACAGTACAGATATGACACAAAATAATGAAACAACAAACATTAACATCAGAACATTATTTGTTTGTATATATAGTTATTTATCTTTTGGATAAGTATCCGGCCATTCATTTATAATTTATTTACTTACTGGTTTATTTTGGTTAAACCAGAGTATCCCAACCCATTTCAAGTTAAGACTAGCACCTAGGGATGAAAGCAACCAACTGATACACTGATGCCCACATGCATCCAGTAAGCCTGGAGATGGTCAAGCCTAAGACGTTGTTTTCTGAACTGTTGCATCAGCCAACTCAATCATCCATGTAAGTTACTGATTTTCAACACTTACAGGTGATCTAATTTAAAAGGTCACAGAAAAAGGGGAGAAGAATGTCATCTATCAACTTCGCATTGCAGCATAAGTCAGCACTTCAGGTTCTTTGCTTACGATTTTGTCATGGATACAACTCCTTGAAGAGCACCAGCAGTACCACCAAGAACTGGAAGCAACGCAAACAGCAAACCAACAGCACAGTCCTGGCAAGCAAAAAATAACTCAAAAGTTCAGAGTAAATAATTTATTTGGCCAAAAAAAAAGGGAACATGAGAAAGGTCCTAAGCATGATAGATTTGCAGTCTTCACTGATTTTGTGAATACCAAGTAGCAGTAACTAAGAGGAGGTTTGATTGAGGGATATAAGGGGTGGCCGGATATGAAATCTGATGGACCCTACATGTTTTTTTGTCTCCCTGTCCCATGTTTGGTGGCTCCAAATATAGGAGTTCTAGATATTATATCATCCATGGTACTGCATATCCCCCACGGGTGGCCGGATATGAAATCTGATGGACCCTACATGTTTTTTTGTGTCCCTGTCCCATGTTTGGTGGCTCCAAATATAGGAGTTCTAGATAATATATCATCCATGGTACTGCATATCCCCCACCATTGGATATATGCTCATCTTTCATCCAACAGTCAAAAACAATCTCTCTCCTCTTATCTCATGCTCTATCATACCCTAACCAAACATAATAAAAGTGATCCCACAATATATATAATCCATCTCATATCCTAAGCATATTATATCCCATCATATATCCCCACGTATTACATATTCTCCTCAGCCCCTCATCCAATCTGGACAATCAAACAGTAAGCATTTTTTTTAAACAAATTATCATATCCAGAGAAAAAAATAACGAAGCAGAAGAAAGATAAAGACCTGTGAGATAAGGGTACCAATTGTTATCTGTCCATGGAGTGCATTCATACTACTTTTTTCCATCAAAAATTTCAAAACCTGCAAGCGAAATGAGGTAAAATTGTTTCAACACATTGATCAGAAGAAAGAAGCTTTAACAATTCTGTGGCTAAGAAACGGAAGAACTACATAATGATGACCTGGAAAACAAATTAAACCAAAAAAAATAAAACAATACAAGAATTGCTTAATAACAAAGGGACCCTTATGCTCACTAAGCCAAAATATTAAAACCAAAACTCCAAGGTGGATGTAACCCTCTAAAGAAAATAGAGAGGCAACCAAGATCCATAACAGGATTATTATTATTAAAGGTTTCAAAAGATCAATTTCTTTATACATAATTAAGATATCTGAATTTTGATGCTGTCAAACAGTCTACCCTGTCTATCTGCATCAGGCTGATGCAAACTTAAACAAATGTCTACAAGGCACCCACGTTGACACAGGAGCATGGGATGGCATGGCAAGTATAAAAATTAATAGTACTTACCAAAAAGATATCAATTAAAACTAATAGTTCTTTGGATAATAGAAGATTCAAATCTTAATGTATGCTCTGAACTTTGAAGAAGCTTCATTTATTTTGGGAATGAGATTTTGTAGCCTGATATATTGCCAAATTGAAAAGGATGCTCTTCATGAGGTCTCTACCTGTAGCCAATGTTTTTTAAAACCCAAAGATAGGAAGTAGGATGTTCTTAATGAGGTCTCCACCTATTGTCAATGTTTTATAAAGCCTAAAGATAAAAATTATTGAGGTGAACCAGGAAGAGTAAGAGACAATGAGTTTGAGAGGACTCGATCATCCCCTTTCGAGTACAACAATCGAGAGCCTTTACCAGCAAAGTTAGTGAGCAACTTAGATTAACACAAATTCTTTAAAATTTATGATTGATGACCAATATAATCATACAATAGGAAGTAGGATGGAAAACTGCTAGCCTAAGACTAGATAAAAGATCACGTTTAGTCCAGTTTTCGAACCAAAGAAACCATACAAGGTATAAATAAGTCAGATAAACAAAATCAAGCTGTAGAACAGCACTAAAAGCACAGCCATGAACGTACATAGCTTTAGCTAAATAATATTGAAAGAGTTATGTGGAGATACTTACAACAGCTGTTGATGACATAGACAAGAATGCACCGATGAATACCCCCTCAGAGACTTCACCACCACATAACTGCATAAAGCACACAGCCATGGAACAATTATAAGATCGTGAAGGGACAGGTCACGAATATGCAAGCAGCCCATAATATGAAGATCATGTAACTAATTAAAATCATCTAAATACTCATCGTTCTGTTATTAAAAAACATTTATATTCAAATTTAAGAACAGGAATCCAGTGGGTCATTTAGGAGAGATCCCTATTATTTTTATTTTCCATAAAATGAGTCACACCAATCATAAAATACCACTTAGCAGGGTGTTTGCCTCTTTAGGCATTTAAGATACGAATGGAATCTACTTGTAGTATATATATGTTTATTTCCCTTGAATCAATAAGTTTTTGGGCAAAGTGCAGTTGATTAATAAAAGTTTAATACTGTTTACAAGAAAATATTAATGATACAATACCCTATATTTGAAATTCCAATTTCATGTTGAACCCCATCACGCCAAAGCAAGAGGGATTTGGGGAAGTTTCTAAAACTTCTTAGTCTATTAAACACAATATTGCTTCACATTATAAATATTGCTTTCTATACATGGAGAAACTTCTTAGTCTATTAGACACAAAAATTTAATTTCTTCAAATCACTGATATTGGAGATTTAAACCAGACAGCTTTATTTGTGAAGTAGTTGTCATATAATTAGAATGCAGCAATGCTGCATGCAAAATACATACACATGAAAATTTTGGTGAAATTAGACATACTGAGGCAGTTACTCCACACAAGCACATAAAAAGAAATATCTGGAGCAAGCCTCCTAACACTGCAACTGCTCGAACAACACGAAGCTGCAGTGGCAAAATGGAGGATCAATCACAGATTATGACATTAATTGGCAAATCATAAATTCAGGAAGAATAATATAAGCAAACCTTTGTTGCAGAGAACTCCAGACCCAATGCAAACAGAAGAAAAACAACACCAAACTGAGCTACTGTTTCAACCTACATGCAATATTAATGAGAAGTTGAACTATTACATGAAATCATGTAGGAAGATAAAAATATATGAAAGAGTATAAAATGTAAAGACACACAGAACCTTAATCTAAGTCTGTATCATAACCATGTGACAATTGACAAAACACCGCCTCACAATTGAGCATATATTGCAAACAGATTTTGAACTCCTCTTCTCCCAAATTTGAAAGAAACCCACTGAGAAGAAGATCTCTCTGGTTTAATAAAATATATATATATATAACCCGTATATCAGAGGCTAACTGCATAACAACTATTGAAGTAGGGACTTAAACACCCAAACTTGATGGATGGATTCAGCAGCTTTACAGATGCTAATGTCCTTGCCCAATTTCCCATGTAAAATATCAGTCAGTATGACTTGTGTCTTAAGAATCACACTGTGACCTAAATTGTACTCCTAAACACCCAAATGAAACTATTCAAATTCTCTAAATTTAAGCAGATCGAATGGATGATTAGAAACTTGAGCACAGTGCTGCTAGCTATTGGGCATGATGGAGATAAAAGCAACATACTTGCACCAATTCACTAACAAAACTAAAGCCCCCAGGTCCAATAACAGAGCCTGCTAGCAAATACCCAGTAATAACCTGCAAAATTTAAAAACACATATAAGGCCCCCCTTTAGGGTTAATATGGAGAACATTAACGTCAATCAAAGAATCACATCTACAAGCACAAAATAAATAGTAAATACAGAGGATGTATAATCAACAAGTTTACAACCCTCTCTCCTCACCCCACCCTAACCTAAAGAACTTTAAAATAAAAAAGTATATTCATTTGGAAAAACAGTAGTTCATCGTGAACACAGCATAGAACAAGAATCAGAGGCCAACCGGTTGTCCGGCACAAGCAAACGCAATGCCACCGCATGTTGCAGAGACAATGAGAACCACAAGATCTGATATCAACCTGCCAAATATTTTTATGAACATTTTAGATCAGCTAACAAGTCATTAGCAGGCAGTGGCCAAGCTAGAGAGAGCTAAACCTTAAGTCTAACTGTAGCACAGGAAACTTTGACTTGGGATTTGATATAATAAACACATTATCCTGCACAAAAATTCCTACAATTGGATCAGTACTTCAACAGCTTGGAACATAATTGCCCACATCGCAGCACTGCACAAAAGTAAAATGTTATCAGAATTCTCCGATGGCATCTACAAGGCATACCTTTCGATCTATCAACGTTGGCATATCATCTCCTCGATTCTCGTTATCCAAATTGAAAACATCATGAAGCTGAAAGGACCTGGCACAAACTCATAGAGATATCAGCAACACGGAAATTTGGGATTAGCATAATTTTGTTTACTTTGTTAATCAACTACTTCCATTGAACATAAATTGTAAACAGCATGTTCTGTAATTCTATTCTCGGGACAGAAAGACAAGAAATAAACGATAGAAAGGCATACTTCTCCTCCTTGGTGTCATTTTTCTTGGACCTCACTCTAGCAACAGTTTCCATAACTGCCTGATGAAATCAAACATAACAAAAAAGTATATTCAGCAAACACAATAGGCTAGAAATTTGTTCGAGTAAGAATAAAGAACTCATAAAATGCACTTTTATGGCAGCAAAGGAGCATCCATTAGGATTGAGCAAAAAAAAGTAAGCTGGCCTGATCTATTCCAAATCGTATAGTTTGGTTTGGTTTTCTCGATGCATGGTTTGGTCATGGTTCTTAAAATTGGTGAACTGTACTTTACATTTGGTCCATGGTTTTGTAGTTATGGTTCCGGTTATGGTCGTTGGTGCCTTTTTGTTTGATGTGGTTGGTTTGGCCGGAAAGGAACAGAAGAACTTTCCAAGAAATTGAGCATTCGGTGTTGTAGTTGGAGAATCAGTTCTTAGTTATTTTGCATAGTTGGTTGGAGTGTAAAGTTGATCCGGATCTATTTATTTTCTTAGATTTTTTGGATGACGTAATTGGTTAGGCGAGTTTTGTTTTCCCCTTTTGGTCTTTTTGTATTCTTTGCATCATCTTGATGCTTTTGCAATAAAAATTTATCATTTATCAAAAAAAAAAATTTGTTACTTACTAAAGACATTTAAGTACCTGATTAATACTTCATATATATACATACGTAATTAAAAACTTTGTGCAACTTTTGTAAACGAAAATCATCTAAATTCAAGAAAAGTAGACATGGACATGAACTAGCAAGTGTACTCTAACTAGTTTTAAACAATCATCTAAACAACTCTTGTTTGAAAAATGATAGCACGTTGATTGATGTTTTGGGTTGGTTGTTGCCAATAATAATCATTCTAATTAATGTTATGATGTGGTTATCATGTATTTATTACATCCTTCAAACTTCCTTTCAAATTATTTTAACTTTTTATAAAAAAAAAATGTTTCTTATATTTTTTATAGGAGTATTAGCTCTTATTTTGAAATTGAATATACATATATATACTAGCAGTTGTGCACACATGCAATACAGATGCAAAAATGAACGAGGGTTAAAACCGTCTGGAACATGGCCTTGTTTTGGGAGGCAATTTTATAAAATCAAAAAAGTGTGACAAAGCTTTACATTCATACCAAATAGGTATACACATTATATAATAGCGTGTGTGTGTGAGAGAGAGAGAGAGAGAGAGAGAGAATATGACAAAATCCCATTAGTGACACAAATGTCATTAAAATCATCTAAATTCAAGAAAAGTAAACATGGGCATGAACTAGCAAGCGTACTCTAACTAGTTTTAAAAAATCATCTAAACAACTCTTGTTTGAAAAATGATAGCACATTGATTGATGTTTTGGGTTGGTTGTCGCCAATAATAATCATTCTAATTAATGTTATGATGTGGCTATCATGTATTTTTTACATCCTTCAAACTTCCTTTCAAATTATTTGATTTTTTTATAAAAAATTGTTTCTTATATTTTCTATAGGAGGATTAGCTCTTATTTTGAAATTGAATATACATATATATACTAGCAGTTGTGCACACATGCAATACAGATGCAAAAATGAACGACGGTTAAAACCGTCTAGAATGTGGACTTGTGTTGGGAGGCAATTTTGAAAAATCAAAAAAGTGTGACAGAGCTTTACATTCATACCAAATTAGGTGTACACATTAGATAATAGTGTGTGTGTATGTGGGAGAGAGAGATTTTTTAAAACCTAACCTAATTGGTGGATAAAAAAAAAGTCTTCGGTAACATGTTAGTTGTTGTCTTTTGGTAAATCCCATTAGTGACATAAATGTCATTAAACTACTATGACCATAAAGCATGCTTTGCATTTGCTTTATGGGCCCACCCATATAAAATTGATTTTCTTCATTTAAATTCTCAATTCTTAGTTTGGAGGACTTCCATTTACACAATAGATTTACACATCTTTTCCTAACTCGTATGATTTAATAATCTTATGATCCAATCCTCAAATTGTGTAGGATCATTAAACAATTAGTTTCATTGACATATTTGTTGTTAGAAAAGTAAATGAGTGTCCTTAATTTTCTATGATGGTCTTCCATAAAATTGATACATAGTGTGAGTTTTCCTCACAAATTTTGTGGCATTATTTGATTTTGTTTTTTATTTTTTTGTTGCGCAGGCATCATTTGATCCTTAATGAACGCCTAATGATAGTCTTTAGCAGGACCCCAAATGATAAAATATGATACCTGATCCATTATTCTAATAAAAAAAATTATATCTGAAGCATAAAATTTTGATCTTCTTTCTGCCTATTTATTGATAAGTGTTTGATTACATAAATAAAAAAAATTTCCAATTGCGGTAAAGGTTTTTCAAAACCACCCAAATACCCAAGAAACAAATTAAGAAGGTTTTCTTGATTATTGTTTTCAATCAAAATAGTGAAAATCAGTTGTTTCAACAAGCGTCATGAATTGCAAGAATGGCGATGAAAATTGCTCCCTTGGTGACGACTTGGTCAAAATTCAATGCTCTATATGAGGAATTCTTTGAACTTTAAGTTTATTGTCTGTTTTGAATTACTTAAGTTAATATAGTATATTTTTATTAAAAAAAAAGAAATCAGAGAAAAATTTGTTGCACATGCCCTACCACTAGTCTTTCTAAACAGACCAAGAAAAGGGACAAAAATATTTCTTTACATAGGGCTTTTTAGCTAGTTGGCTTATACAATGGGTTGACTTCGATTTCCTTCTCGGGTTGGATATCGTGATTTAAAATGCCAGCTTCTCATAACAAGAATCGAAGGTTAATTAATTTTATATTTATATTGTTGTCAGTATTTGTCTATTTACATTCTTGCTCCTTACTTTGTATATGTTAAACGCATCATATGAATGTTATCATTGATATCTCTATAATTGTTTATGTGAATGAACATATATTTCTAAAGATTGTGTACGTTCAATTGTGGTCAATGGAAAATTGAGTAAACATTTTTCGATTGAAATTCATATACGTACAAACATTGGACTTCACATTAAAAGATACATCTAATTAATCAACTGAATTGAAGATAATTAAGCTAAAGAACTTAGAAAGGTTAACATAACTTGAACCTTTTGGTAGATATATATTTCTATAATTCAATTAAATACACAAGAATTGAGATTGGGGTGAGACACGTTGAATCACTTCTAAACACACAGAAGAGTTAGAGAAATTGAGATTGGGGGATAAGGACTAGTGAAACAAAAGCAAAGTCAAAAACAAAAGAATTGTCCTAGTCACCCTCCTCTAGGCCACTTTCATACATGACCTCTAAACCCTTCAATAGCTAGTCTAATACTGCATGCATCTCAACATGGTTTGGTAGTTTGAGTATATAATTACTCCCTACAAATATATTTAAAAGTAAAAATATAGGGGTAATGTGGAAAATTCATGCTTTAATATTTGAATTTGAGTTCATTAATTACATTTTTCCTTAAAAAGTTAGGATTACGAAAAGAGACTAACATTGTGGGACAGAGGGAGCATGAAAAATTAAAAGAGGGCACCAAATTATAGAATTATCCCTAGAGACAAAGGCTTGGTTTGCCATATCTTCTTCCCTTGCATTTCCAAGTTACTCACAAACAACTATGTGTACAACATTCACAATTATTATAAGAAAAATAACACTGCTAACCTGTTGTTCGGACACGCTGTTGTTAAAGCTCCCAGGATCAGTAGCTGCAAGAGAAAGAGTTATGGAAACTTTTTTCTCCTCTGGTTGGATAAGATTTAAGGAAAATATAATCTGCATTATTAACTCTTAACTTTCATTCAGTGAAAAAAATAAATAAATTCCTAAAAGCCATCAAAGTATCACTACAATAACTATTACTTCATTAACATTAACTCAAAGAAATGAATTGAATAGAAATATACATACTATATACTATATATATTAATATATGTGTACGCATGTGCAAATACAGATTGTTTTGTTAGATAGATGGAAGAGAGGGAAGATTTTTAATTCATTTTTCCCCTTCGCTTGTAGGTGCATTAATGAGAAGAGAAATGCAGAGCAATCTCTATGCAGGTGATCTCTATGGAAGTGATTGGGAGAGAAAAAAAGAAAAGTATAACATTTCACCTCAAGATACAACTACTTAAAACTAGATCCCATTGAGCCAAATTAATACCTTCTTTTCTTTTTTCGCCACTGCATCTCTATAACCAAACTAAGCCTGCCCCTCCTTTCAGATTTATTAATTAATTCATTATAGCATATGATGTGGACATACTTTTGCATTTATCAATATCAAATCATTATTGGTTTGGTAACATATACTATCCTATATAACTATTTATGTGGTTATAATGCTATACAGTTTGGTCTCATCATTATTGATGTAGCTGGATTATTAGGTTACACTCATCATTATAGTCATGATTAATTCAATAGTTAGCCAATCATTGAGGCTCCATTAAATTTTTCGGAGTGGTGTTGGTGAGCCCTTAGAAATCCCTCTTGTGTAATTGGTCAACGTTGCAGCTCCAATTAATTTTTATGATTGATGATTGGCCTATCACCGTTTATGAGTCCGAGGAGTTCTTAATTTGTTTATTTTTTTCATTTTATGCTTAAATATTAGTTTGCATCTCATTTAATTAATGTAATGCAAACTAATATTTACATCTAAGAGTTTTTGGTATATGACATTGTGGGAGCCAAATAATAATGGGTCAATAGGGACGAATGGACAAGAGTTCAGTCCGGGGCATAACCTTTATTCGGCATTGATCCTAGTCAATTGAAGAGCCGAATGAAATCATCGGTATTCCAACCAGTAGAATAAAGGGAATAAAGGCCAAGTAGAAGTACATGTAATGGATCGAGGGTGGGCCTGGCCCTAAGGCCCAAAGAGAATAATATAAATAGAGGATCATCAATCAGAGAAAGGTATGTGAGAATTAGGACACTTAACTTAAGATACAAGCAATCAAGAGAGTATATACTGATTTATCCGTCGGAGTGCTAATTCCGGCATCCCCGACCGGAGTGTTTATTCCTTTTCAGGTCGTTAGCTGAGGATCTCAAGCGTCCCAATGGATCGAAAGAGTATTTCCAAAACCACTTCCCCACAATTAATGCCGTCTGTGGGAATACTCAATTACATCCATGGCGGATGTAACGGAAGACCCTCCAACAGTCACTGACGAAACCACACAGAGAGACGACCTCACTCCAACAAACATGCTTGGACCGGAGACTATCGCCGCAAGACGTGCCTTGAACTTCGACTCACTTGCCCAGAATTCACCCTCGACTTCAGCACATAAAACAATGCAAGCAACCATGGAACAGGCGAAGCAAAACGAACAGAGGCTAGAAAACATGATCGCTGAGAATGAGCGCCTCCGTCAGGACTTGGCCTTGGAAGTAGCAAAATCCAATCAAGCTACACGCCAAGATCTGGGACGACCTCTAAGAGCGGGTGGTCGAAGACCTCGAGGTTGGAAACAATATAGTGACACCGATTCCGACTCATTATCCCCAGAGCCCAAAAAGAAGGGACGACTCGAAACTACCAGTTCCTCTGAAGAGAGTTCACGTGTAAGGCATAAGCGAAGATGAAATGGTTCGGACGAAGAACACCAGCACGATCCTTTCGTGCGACGGATCGTAAAGGCAGCACCACCGAAGAAGTTCAAAGCCCCGTCGTTCACCCTGTACGACGGGAAATCGGACCCCACCGATCATATCCGTCATTATAAGCAAGCCATGACGCTACATGCAGACGATGAGGCTCTCATGTGCAGAATATTTCCGAGCAGTTTGAGGCCATTGGCCGTCAGATGGTATTATAAGTTGGAGCTGGCATCGATTAAGAGTTTCCATCAACTACAGAAATCCTTCAAGGCAAGATTTATCACCAACGAGGTCCAACCGAAACAAGCCGACTCTCTCTAGGCAATGCAAATCCAGCCAGGAGAAACCTTAGGAGCGTATTCGGTGCGCTATTGAGAATGCTTTAATCTTGTCGATGATGCTTGCAATGACTCCATGGCCATTACCGCCTTTAAAATGGGTTTGCATCCTGATAGTGCTCTCCAGTTCCTTGACTAGAAGACCCCCCAAAACAGTCTGGTCGTTGATGAAGAAAGTTGAGGAATACTGCAAAGTGGAAGATGACACCTTGCGGGTTAAAGCCAAAAACATGGCCAACAAGACGGACCCTTCTAAAATTGCTTAGCCGTTAAATTCTGTACCACCTCAGAGCCCTGAACCACGGCATCGGGCTAAACGAGACAAGAGACGAGATTCTCACCGACCAAGCGACCAATGCTCCCACCGAGCAAATGAACAACTTCAAGTAGATAGCAGGCGCACAAGGTGCGCAGACAAGAACTATACGGAGTTGTCAGAGCCGATCAGCGCGGTTATGTCTAAAGTCCAACACCTTCCGTTCTTCAAATGGCCGTCCAAAATGGTGGGACCTCCCGACACGAGAAGACGGGATAAGCGGTGCGAGTATCACAAGGACCATGGCCATGATACTAAGACTTGTTATTCATTGAAGAATCACCTGGAGAAATTGGTACAAGATGGTCGGCTACAACAGCACGTCCGAGAAGGCAACTCAACCAAAGCAATAGTCTTACGGCAGGATTCACCTCCACTCAGCGTGATCCACATGATTTACAGCCTGCCAATGTCATCCGCGGTACATACAATTCAGTCGAATCCCGACCCTCAAAATCAACTCACTCCGGCTAAACGGCCCCATGAAGCTGCAAGCATTGCTTTTGATGATTCAGATTTGGCCTGAGTGACACTTGCTCAGATAGATCCCTTGGTAATCGAGTTACGCATAAACCGATTCACTGTTGAGCGCGTACTCATTGATCCGGGGAGCACATTGGAAGTTATGTATTACAAGACATGCACCAAACTCGACTTCTCCGAATCGGATCTTTCTCCAGCTCCTTATCCATTATTCGGCTTCAATGCTAATCCAGAATACCCGTTGGGAAAAATCACACTACCAGTTCGAGCGGCCTCCCGAACAGTGGATGTGGAATTCTTGGTCGTCAAGCTGCCATCGCCGTATAATCTGATCATGGAGCGAACTTGGTTGCATACTATGCAGGCCGTGCCAAACACCTATCATCAACTGCTCCGCTTCCTGACAGAACGCGACATTGAGCAAATCCGTGGCTCCCAGAAATCGGCACAAGCATGTTATCTCCTTGCTGGAAAGACGCCAAAAGAGTTGCAAGTGAATTCTATTGAGGTGCCGGATCGAGAGAGCCTCGACGATGTTAGGCGGCTCCCAAGTGAAAAGGCCACGGAAGCCCTGGATCGAGTTGAAATTGACAGAAACCCAGACAGGTTCTTCATGGTCGGCGCCTCCCTGAATGAAGCTGACAGGCAGCAGCTAATTTCCTTCCTGCTCGGCAACCTTGATGTATTTGCATGGACACCATATGAGATGTCGGGTGTAGATCCATCTGTTTCGCAGCACCGTTTAAATGTTGACCCTAAATACAAGCCGATTATTCAGAAAAGCCGGCGGTCAGCCGCAGAGCACACTGTCGCCGTTGTTGAAGAGGTTGACCGGTTGCTTGACGCCAGGGCAATCAGGGAAGTGACCTACCCTACATGGCTCTCAAATATTGTGGTTGTGAAGAAGAAAAATGGGACTCGGAGAGTCTGCGTTGATTTCACGGATCTAAACAAAGCCTACCCCAAGGATTGTTTTCCCCTCCCCAGAATAGACCAACTTGTAGATGCGACGGCACGCCATCAGCGTATGAGCTTCCTCAATGCTTACAGAGGACCATGCATCCGGAGGACCAAGACAAAACTGCATTCCTCACCCCAAGAGGAACCTATTGCTATAAGGTTGTGCCTTTTGGGCTGAAGAATGCAGGGGCAACTTACCAAAGACTAGTCACTGCCATGTTCAAGGAGCAACTCGACCACACTATGGAAGTGTACATTGACGATATGGTGGTCAAGTCCAAAGAAGAGCAAACTCATCTAGCCAATCTGGAAGAGACATTCGGCATTTTACGCAAATACAAAATGAAACTGAACGCTTCCAAATGTGCGTTTGGGATCGGTTCTGGCAATTCTTGGGTTACATTGTCAACCACCGAGGAATCGAAGCCAACCCGAGGCAAATCACAACAATCTTGGAACTCGACTTCCCTCGTTCAGTGAAAAAGGTTCAAAAGTTGATGGGGATGGCCGCCGCACTCAACAGGTTCATCAGTCGTTTCACAGATCGCTGCCGACAATTCTTTCATACTCTACGGCAGAGCAAGGCTTTTGAATGGACCTCCGAGTGCGAAGCAGCTTTCAACGGCCTTAAGACCTACCTCCGATCAGTTCCACTCTTGACAACACCTTCGGTAGGTGACCCGCTCATTTTGTATCTAGCGGTTTCCGACCGGGCCGTCAGCGCCGTACTGTTAAAGGAAGAGCTGGGGGAGCAGCAGCCAGTGTATTATGTGAGCAAGGCAATGGTTGACGCCGAAACACGCTACCTTCCGTTGGAAAAACTCATTCTAGCCCTCGTCATGGCAACAAGAAAGCTGATGCATTACTTTCAGGGGCATACTATCGGGGTACTAACAGACCACCCCCTCCAGTCGGTACTCCGTAGTGCAGAAGCATCCGGGCGCGTTTCAAAGTAGGCTCTTGAACCTAGAACGATATTCAGTTTCTACCTAGAACCTCAATCAAGGGGCAAGTGCTTGTCGACTTTGTG